TCTTTGCCCCTCCCATCATGTCCTGATCCCTAAAGCCTATATGTAAGCTACGGATACCTGATTGAAACAAACTGTACAAACTGCAGCCTCCAGTCTGAAGCTAGCGTTAACCGACTAACAGTAAATGTGTCAGTCCAGTAGAGGCTCTGGTTACTGCTGATGTGACACTAAGCACTGATGTGACACAAAGCTCCAGTTCCTCCCAAATTAAAATCATATTAATTCAACACAAAGGTAAAATCCCGACCATGCTAGGTGGCTAATGCTACCAAAACAAACAGGTTAGCTTTAGATGCTAACACATCCAGAAGGAAGAAGGCCACATCTGGATCCAGTCTGAGTCCTGGGGTTTTGATATTTTGTAAACTGTAATATTATATATTTATTGTCTTCTATCATGTAGCATCTGTGAATACGTGAGGAGAATTTTAACATCCTCTCCATTTAATTTCATGTCATTATTAAAGTCGTCTCTGGGCGCCTGCTGTGTTTGTTGACAGGAAGTCCATCTCATCAGAACATCTCAGAGTGGAGGATGCAGAGCATCGCCCGCGACTCAGAAGACAGTACAGATGACGAGTTCTTCGATGCACATGGTATCAGTTTCTGCATTATAGATAATATACTTACAGCACATTATAAACAGTCAGTGGCTTTACTTTGTTTTAAACACTTCTACTGATTAATTTACTAGTATCATCTACCTCAAGGTGGCTCTTTGTGTTTGGTTTGATAAATATTAGCTGTGGAACACCTCAAGGTTTCTTCATTAACCGTGATTTGTTCTTGTTATGGTGAATGAATGTTTTCAGAGTTACAGAGGAGAAACTCTACGATGTTATATTAGTCACTTAATTGCTCTTCAAATTAACTGCCAGAAAGATAAAGCCATTTTGCAGTATATAGAAAGTCCATTTAAAAGCAGCAAAAGCTTAGCTTTTTTCTTTGTCATGTGTTTTCCCATATTATTTGTAACACAGTTACTGAGTTGTATTGAAATATGCGAATCAAGAATTAATAACAAATTCACAAACAACATCAGAAGTCGACCTAAGTTTTGTACAATTTTCAAGTTAATGTTAAAAATCACAATTGTCACCCTGCATGAAAAGACCTGGTTAATTTGAATAAGACCAATCCAGTGATGCAGTCGGGCATCCAGACAGCAACAAAGGGCAAAAGGTTGCAGATGCTTTAACTTTTCCCACAGAACAGTAGAGTTAGGAGTGGTTACTTTGCAGTGTGAGTGCTTTGTTTGTTATGTTTGCCTCTCAATTGTCATGACAAAATATAAAATTATTTTACTATATACTCTATATATGTACAGCATTATAAACCGCTGTGCAACATTTTGGTGTTGAGAAATCTGGACTTCCTGGATTGTTGTATTTGAAGGCCTGTATTTATCAAAAGTAAAAATTTGTATTTTTCAAGCTTCATTTAACTTTAAAAAATTCTTTTATATATCAGAGTTGCAGAGATTTCATAGGTCAGATAAGAGAAGATCCTCGATCCCTGCACTAACCACGCCCGCCTCTGCTGATAATAAGAATAGTAGTTTAGTCTGATTTTCTTCTGTCCAAGTGTTCTGAGACTGAGAAGTGGCTTTGATTATATTTGAGGTCGTCTGTGTGTCTTGCAGAGGACTTCTCTGACAACGAGGAGATGTTTCCCAAGGAGATCACCAAGTGGAGCTCCAATGATCTGATGGACAAGATAGAAACAATAGAGGTGGATGAAGCACAAGGTGGGTGCCCCCTCTGTGAGCCACATTAAACAGAACAGGACATCAGATCCTGGACTCTGATACATGAAAACCAGGACCACAGTAGGAGTTAATAACATGTTTTTACAGAACCTTTGTACCAGGAGTCGGGCGGGGAGTATGCCGTGATGAGTAACGAGGAGACGCAGATGGAGGTATAGTCCTTCACTGTTTTCTAACTTCATGTCTCTCTCACACTAACGCCCTTAATTAAATAGTGTGCAGATAATACGCCTCCTCCTAAATTAGCTTTCAGTCAGCCTGCCAGTGTAGTGGCAGTCGGATCCCCGCTGTGCTGCAGCCATCAGCTCTCTGTTCCCTTCCTCTCTGTCTTCTGTCCCCTGATCTGCAGGACTGCTCGTCTCAGCAGTGTCTCCAGCCATGCAAAATCCATGTCCTCATTCTGGTCCTGCATGGAGGAAACATTCTGGACACTGGCTCTGGTAAATTATTATAAAAGTCACACTTCACATGTACTAAAATCATTTTTAGCACAAAATCCCAAACCTCCACAATCAGAAAGCAGTGACCCTGAATGTAGGAGCTGTAATCTGGAGCTGTGGATCAGGACAAGGCCTGTAAATAATGATTATTTAGTTTTGTTTGAGAAAAATAGTGAAATAGTCCAAACCCCTAAACCAAAGGGTCATATTTACTTTGTCTTTAACAGTTATGAGTTGAAAAGGTTTCAAACCACTGTTTTAGAAGCCTGCAAAAATGAATGAATCTGTTCTTGTTTTTTTTTTGAAGGAGAACAGAGCAGCAAGCAAGCAGATGTAAACACGCTGACCGGGGCTTTTGAGACCGTGATGAGGGTCCATTACCCTGCCGCGCTGGGCCGCATCGCCATCCGGATGGTCCCCTGTCCTGCTGTGTGCGTCGATGCGTTCTCACTGGTCTCCAGGTAAACGATGCTCTTGAGCATTCAGCAGCTGTAATACGTGTACAACCTGCTGTGCAGACTTTAAACATGCTCACAGAAGGACAGATTGCAACGTGTCCTCTCTGCTCTGCAGCCTGAGCCCCTACAGCTACGATGAGGGCTACCTGTCGAGCAGTCAGGACCACATCCCGCTGGCTGCTCTGCCTCTTCTGGCACGCTGTGGCAGCTGTCATCTTACGAGCCAATCAGGTGTATGCTGACTTCATCAAGTCTTTAGAGGGGGCATCTTTTAATGGCCAGGTTAGTTTATTACCTGAACACGGGCTAAATGGGGTCTTTCTTACTAGTTGGTGTGTTAAACTCAGTATTTCTGCATCAGTGTCTCAGAAACATGTTCAGATGAAGCTGATTTGTCCTCATTTATGCTTTTGTGCTTTGCCTTCTAATGCAGGTGTGTGTTATTGGGGACTGTGTTGGGGGTATCCTGGGCTTTGATGCTCTGTGCAGCAGCTCTGTGACTGTGTCCGAAAGCCAGAACAGCAGCAGACGGGGCAGCACCATCAGTGGACAGGTACCAGACATGCAGTTAGTGGTGCTTAGGGCTACATGCTAACGTTGTTGGTGTAAATAGTTACTGAGATATTTTGGTCTGAACCATCATGGTGGACTGACTGGCTGACATTGCCAGCCCCACAGAACCACGGCACCAGCAGCACGACTTACAACTGTAGGTCTGACACTGTTCTTTGTTCTCTCCATCTTCATCTCTCAGGACACAGACCTTCTCTCTCCAGGTATTGTCATCAACACTGGCTCCGCTCCCTCTCCGTCCCTCGAAGGAAGCCGCCACCTCAGCCGCAGCAACATTGACATCCCTGGCTGCACGGGGCCTGACGACCCCAGGAAACAACTTCCACGCAAGCGCAGCGACTCCTCCACGTATGAGCTGGACACCATCAAACACCACCAGGCCTTCCTGTCCAGGTGAAAGACACTAATGTCACAAACTCTCTCACACTTTTAATGTATGCTGCTTTCACTTTGGTTTAACTAATCAAGCGCTGCAGGCTGTGATTCCACAGATGCTGCAGGTCTTTGAACAGGGTTAGTTAACGTCAGTCTATCATATATTATTGAGTTTTTATTCACTGACGAAAAATGTAATACATTTCATCATTGTTCTTGTTTTGTAGTTTTAATCTTAGTCATGGTTTTCACTGACAAACTGAACAGTGACTGTCTGAATGTTTATCTGTGCACAGCCTCCACTCCAGCGTGCTCCACAGGGAGCCCGGATCACGGCGCTCCAGCAACAGCACCATGTTGGAGGGAGGCTCCTTGGGAAAGTTCGACTTTGAGGTGATTGACTTCTTCCTCTTTGGCTCTCCTCTGGGGTTGGTGCTTGCACTGAGGAAGACTGTGGTGCCCTCATTAGATGGTGAGGAAGGGTTTCTCCCCTTATAGTTTGTTTTTTTTGTCATGTTCCTTCAATAAATGCTGAAAGTTTTAAAACAAAAGTCTTTTCTGATAATTTGCCCTATGAGGAAGTGGTTATTTGTAGCCTTTGATGTTTCTTCCTGTTTGGGATGCAGCTGGACAGCAGGTGTCAGGGGTTAGAGCTCATGTTTCCGATCTCAACTGAAAAGAGTTAAAAGGGAAAAACACCACGAGGGAGACAAGACAAATACGTGATTGAGGCCAGAGCTCACACAGGCACGAACTGGCCTGTAGCATGCGCCCTTTGGGGTTTAAAGGAGAGATGTCACTGACCAGCAGCTGTTGGGTTAACATCTGGACTAATTTTCAATTACAGTAGATATGATTCTAGTTGTTTATTCTTTCCTTAGCCATTTATTTTTCACACTTTTGTATGATGAAGATTTATTTTACTCCATAAATAACTTCCTCCTAACAAAACAACACACAAAGATTAGCTACAGCTTATTGTGCTGCACTATGCCAAACTGCACTAGAACTGTCAGTGGACAAACCAGCCGGGGGTTCTGGGTTCAGACAGTTGATCAGTGTGTACAGAGTAAGAATAAAAGTTGCAGGTTCAGGCAGAAAAGTCAATTACAATGTGTAGTGTGAGTTAACGCAATGTGTGTGTGCAGCTCAAATTGTGTTTCTCTCCGTGCTCCAGTGTCGGCTCTGCGTCCAGCCTGTCAGCAGGTTTACAACCTGTTTCATCCAGCTGACCCCTCGGCCTCACGCCTTGAGCCTCTCCTGGAAAAGAGGTTCCACCTGCTGCCTCCCTTTAGTGTCCCCCGCTACCAGCGCTTCCCTTTGGGTGATGGACACTCAGCTCTGCTGGGTGAGTCCACAGCTCAGCTGTCATGAGACATTTCATTGCAATGCTTGTACACTCCATCCAGGCAAGTCTGTTTATAAATTGTCCAATTCTTTGGTCTCTTTCTACCTCCCTTCATCTGACTTCCTAGTTGACACCATGCAGAATAACCTTCAGCTCCTGATGGAGTCTGGTGCTGCCACATCCCACCGCTGCCAGGAAAGCACAATCAGTGAGACATCCATCCCTGTGCCCGTCCTCAACTGGCAGACCTCACAGCCCCACACAGAGAGTGTGTATCTGTTAGCTTTGGCTTGCAGTCCTGTTGCTCTTTATCGCTTAGGTCTCAGTTAGAGACAAGCAGGTGAACATCAGCAGCTAAAGAGTCAGATGATCTGGTAGAGAGCAGAGACAGAGAGTGAATACTGGTCTCTCACTGGGCTCACCAGTTGGCCAGAAACATTCACAGGACAGTACAGTACATTTTTCAATTTCTTTAAACCCACCTTCAGTTTGCTTGTTTTGTCTGACCGAGTGTTTATACACTGATGATATTCAATTAACTATTTATTTTACTCTTTAAAAAATCAGATATTACAGATTGAAATCACCATTTAACTCATTCACAATCATTAATGCTTCATCCAGACTCTGCCCTGTTTGTAATATTTGCAGTGAAGAAAGTGGCTCTAACTTCTGTCTTCTGTGTCCTCAGCGGATCTTCTTCACTCACATACTTGTGCTGACAGCCACTACCCACCATCTACATCACCAGGGGTCCCTCACCTTCGCTCCAACCGCAGGGCCAGCGAGGCCAGCTTAACCAGCCAGGTGTCTGGCTCAGCCGACTCGATCACGGCCTCCAACATCGCCACCAGTAAGCCGATCTCTAGCCATCATGTCATGTTGGCCCATAGTTGATATGTTGACCTTTTCATTTCCTGCTTCCTAATATCACCTCAGCGCAGTCAGCCAGAGTAAAAGGCAGACATCAGCTTGGGCCCCTCATCCCTCAGGGTCCTGAAGAACATAGAGCAAGGTACCTTGAGAGCCGTGGTAAGAGGACACGAAAGAAGGAGGCTAGGCTCTATCCTCATTCCCTCAGATTTTTTCATTCTCCTCTGGCATCTCAGTAGTCCTGTTTCCAGAAAATGTCCATGAGACCTGTAATCCTTTGTTCAACAGGAACAAAACCTTGAGAGGCTTCTCATGGAGTCTGAGCTGGTGTTCTTTTGCGAGTGTGCCTTTCAGACTTCTTCAGAGCTGTTGGTTTTTAATCAGAGTTTGGTCTTTAATGCCTCCTAGTCAACCGAGTGTGCTATAACTTACAGTTTTTGATTATTTGGAACTGTTCATCATTCTGTACATGAGCAGAACGTAGATCTGCAGTGGAAAGCAACAGTCACAGTAGTTGACGCACTCGTTCACTCTCTCCCTTCCACCCTTTCTTCGTTCCCTCCCTGCTTTAGTTGCTTCCCGGTGGTGGGGCAGTAAGAGGATGGACTACGCCCTGTACTGTCCTGATGCTCTGACAGCATTTCCAACAGTGGCTCTGCCTCATCTCTTCCATGCCTCCTACTGGGAGTCCACAGACGTTGTCTCTGTCCTACTCAGACAGGTGCGTGCTGTCATTTCATTTTCTTTTAGCCTAATGTGCTGACTTTTGCAGCTGTGCTCCCTTAAGGGTTTAAAGTTGTATATATGAACCAAGTGTCTGTCTGTTGCTTGGCTGGTCCATCACATATAGACTGAAACATTTCTGTGACTACTGGGCATATTTAACCTGATGGATCCTACTGACTTTGGTGATGCATACTCAGGTCAACATTTCAGTTAGTTTATAACCTATTATCTGCAAAACTAATGACATTCACCCTTCTCAAGTGTTCATTGTCTTTGATGCTAATTATGTGCTTACATGCCAAACCAAGATGGTGAATCTGTTCAACGTTATACCAACTAAACATCAGCATGTTAGCATTGTCTTTGTGAGTGTGTTAGCAGACTCTTAGTATGCAGCCCTATTTGCTTCTATATTTAACACATTTCTGCAGTTTACCAGTAGATTCTGCCACAGTAAGCCATTTGTTTCTACATGCCGAATGTTCAGCACCAACTGGTGACATCTGCCGTTCAGTGGAGAGCCATAAACCTTGTGGAGTGAACTTCAGTTCTTCAGCCTAAGCTAACTTGAGACTACAGTAATAAATCATCAACTTTCAAGGTTATTCTTAAAAGGTACATTTATTTTTATTGCCACGATGGGCCAGCATCTATAGATGAAAAGCTGCAACGCATGGATGCCAAGAAAGAAGGCAGAGAAAGTGCCTGCTTTAGCACTAAAATACCATCTAAAACTTACATTTAGCTGCTTTTCAATGGCAGAATAGCTTTGGCTGCACTGTGGAGAGCTGAGGAAAGCAGAAGTGTCCGGTCCAGCCTGAAGATCAGGAGAAACTAATTTACTATGTGAATATGAAACATGTCGTCTTTCTTAGGTGATGAGACACGAGAACTCCAGTATTTTGGAGCTGGATGGTAAAGAAGTGTCTGAATTCACTCCGTCCAAACCTCGTGAGAAGTGGCTCCGCAAGAGGACTCATGTTAAAATTAGAGTAAGATCTTGCTTTGGTTTTAAGTGCAAAATGTTTTGGACTGAATGCAGAACAATTTAAACTGTCAACATATGTTTTTACTCATTCCTGTCTGTGCAGATTCTCAGTCATCCAGGTCATAGTAAACTGAAAAGGCTTAGAAAAAATCAACTGGACTAGATTTCTAGTCTAGTTCTAGACTAGATAGAAATCTAGTCCAGTTTTTTCAGTTTACTATTCCTGCTTTCACAGTACTTACACTGCTAATGTGGATGAGTCACCACACTTAGGTTTGGTTTCAGAAGTATCATAGTAAAAAATATCTGAAGACTTTTTCCTGCATTAATAAGCTGTATATGTATCAAATAACAAATTATAGTTTCTTAAAATAATGGTAGCGAGGAGAAGGTAGGTAAGAGAAGGAGGTAATGCACTAACCCTATATATGTAATTTATTTAATTAGAGCTAGATTGGTGACAAATGAAATGATCAGCTTAGAGCTTCTCTCATCTGGATGTTGCCAGCCGGACAGTGAGAGAATGAATCAAACAAACTGTCGGTTCTGATTTCCTGTTTTGCCCTCCTCCGTGTCAGAATGTGACAGCTAACCACCGTGTGAACGACGCAGTGTTCACTGAGGACGGAGCCCAGACGGTGACGGGACGTTTCATGTACGGCCCGCTGGACATGGTCACCCTCACTGGGGAGAAGGTAAACACAGCTGTGATGAGCTAAAAAGCTACGTCACCACGTGTGTCAGTAAGGCCATCATGCAGTGCACGGAGTGCCATGCTGAAGAAGATCTTTGTGTGTTTTTTCCACCCAGATTGACATCCACATCATGACCCAGCCTCCGTCTGGAGAGTGGGTGTACTTCAACACAGAGCTGACCAACAGCAGTGGACGCATCTCTTACGTCATCCCTGAGAGCAAAAGGCTTGGTATTGGGGTGTATCCTGTCAAAATGGTGGTCAGGTATGCTAGTGGCCATTTTATTAGGTACACTAGTATCTTATTAATGGAAATACTTAATGAGACAGTCATGTGCAACACAATGCATAAAAGCATGAAGTCATTAAAAGAATCTCATCTTCCTCTGCTGTCTCTCTACCAGGGGTGACCATACATTTGCAGACAGCTATCTCAGCATTGTACCACGTGGAACAGAGTTTGTTGTATTCAGTATCGACGGGTCATTTGCTGCTAGCGTTTCTATAATGGGCAGTGACCCAAAGGTTCGAGCTGGAGCTGTGGATGTCGTAAGGTAAGCATCAGAGCTCTCTGTCGGTTTCTTCTGCAGTAATACACAGATTCACATGGGCTATCTACTCTGCCTGTTATACGGTAGGTTTTAGTTGCTCCTTCCTTTGTTTTTCACCACTCACTCTTAATTGTGATAATTTTTTGCAGGTACTGGCAGGACTTGGGTTATGTGATAGTATACGTAACAGGTCGTCCTGACATGCAGAAGCAGCGTGTGGTGGCCTGGCTCTCTCAGCACAACTTTCCTCATGGCATCGTCTCCTTCTGTGATGGGCTGGTTCACGACCCGCTCCGACACAAGGCCAACTTCCTCAAATCCCTCATAAGTGAGGTAAGGAAGGGCCAGGGTGTGAGGCAGTATTATAATAAATCCTTGGAGACTCTAAAAGCTCACCTCCCTCTTTTACTAGGCCCATATGAGAATCTTTGCCGCCTATGGTTCCACTAAGGACATCTCACTGTACGCGTCTATTGGCCTGCCTCCGTCTCATATCTACATAGTGGGAAGGCCCACGAAGAAAATGCAGCACCAGTGTCAGGTACTAAATAAATCCTGGAAGTAAAGAATATTTCACCAGTCATATTAATGTACTTGCATGTTGTGCAGTATAAAGCATCAGACAGTGACAGCATACAGTATTGTTGTTTTGTGCAGTCTGTGTGGTAAATCAGTGGTCACGAATATTCATGTTACTTCATCATAATCAACACTGCTTTGTTGGACAGACCAACTTTTTAATCCACAATGCACAAAACCATCTGTGTCTTTTTGGTACAAGAGGCTAACAGCTGGAACTTTAGATAATGAATGAGGCAGTTTAGCAAAACAGAGCCAAGGAGGCTTTGTCTGAGGATGAGGAAGGTCACTGAACAGGGCTAATGTAGCTGCAGCAGGTGCCAGGACAGTAAACTATGGACTACTGGAAGCAAACTTTTTACCATACTTGGAGTATGGCGTTGAAAACTGGGGAAACACTTACAAAAGCTCACTTCAACCATTGTATATATTACAAAAAAGAGCGATTAGAATTGTACATAAGATGGGGTATAGGGATCACACCAATGGAGCTTTCATACAGTCTAAATTGTTAAAATGTTTTGATTTAGTGGGATATAAGACTGCTGTGTTTATGTATAAAGCCAGGAACAATTTATTACCTGGTGGAATTCAAAAACTATTTAATGAAAGGGAAGGGGGATACAATCTAAGGGGTCAGTTAAATTTAAAAATTCATGCTATACGTACAACCAAAAAAAGATTTTGTATTTCCATAAGTGGGGTAAAACTATGGAATAATTTAACTGTGGACATGAAAAATAGTAATAGAATTGATGAGTTTAAACATAAATATAAAGGTATGTGTCAATCAAGATATATGCAAGAACAGGCTTAATGATTAATTAGATGGAATAAGATGATGTTATGGGGTAGGACTGGATAAGTCTGACTTCTTCCTACTCCATTCAAACATGTACTAGGTATAAGCAAACTGATTCTGGATTAGCATTGGTTGGATTTGTGTAATTATGTGTGTTGTCATTTGTTCTGCATGTTTGAAAGAATAAATCAAATCAAAATCAAATCAAATCAAATCAAAAACTTAATAAGGGTTTAGAGACCATGCTACAAAACTATGCTAGCATACAGTAAAAGGATAAAGGCTACTTTACTTTGTCCTTCCAGTCTGAGTCCTCTGGCTGCTTTTAACCCTCTCCATGTCAAACAGCCAAACCCATGTTAACCCTGGTTGTTGCTCTTTCTTTGTCCCACTCTCTCTGTGCTAAAGACGCCACCTCTTCACTCTGGCAGCTGCTGGTTCAGACTTTTAGCTGCCCAGAGCTCCTCCATGGCTGTTTGACATGACTACTGGCTGGAAAAACCCTTCTTCTAACCTTGGCTAGGGGGCAGGGCTGATTTACAGACTGTACTTTGACAACACAGGGTGGAGAAGCTGGAATAACAACAGGAGGATGTAGGCAGCAGAGGGTCATGGAGGGGGGGTGTAGCTGAGAGACACCAGGTCCTGTCCCACTGTTACTGGGGTTAGCAGACAGTGTGGTAAATCTTAGTTAATACACTTTTAGAATTTAGTTTAATCTAGTCACTAAAATGTCTCTGTATAGATTCTTTACTCAGTCAAGCTGCCAAATTACAGAGGAAGAAAGAGTTATACTCATACAAATGTCGATCTAGAACCTTAATGTAACGAATGTCAAAATGGTTCTTAAGTGCCTCATAAATGAACTTTATTACTTCCCACCAGTGTTTTCAAGAGGCTATGAAGTTTGTGTGTGTGTGTGTGTGTGTGTGTGTGTTTGAGCTCAGTTACTGTACAGAATTTATAGTATAAGCATTAAAAGATTTAAACTGACTGGTCATACATTACTTCCAGTTCATCCCCGATGGCTACGCTTCCCACCTGTCCCAGCTGGAGTACAACCAGAGATCCCATCCTGCAAAGTCCACCAGCACCTGCATGGTCCTCCGCAAGGGCAGCTTTGCCCTGGGTGCAGCCGGAGGAGACTTCCTCCGCAAACGCAACCACATGTTTCGCACCATCTCCACCCAGCAACCAGGAGGGGCAGGGTCCAGCTCCCCCAGCCACCCAGTGCGAACCGAGCGCACTCTGAGCCAGTGCGAGGTGGAGCGGGAACGAGGAGTCACTGCAGCAACCCAGAGGAGTATGAGTATAGCTGCAGGATGCTGGGGTCGCAGCGGGAGCACCAAGGAGGGCAGTGGAGGGTTACTCGGCCCAAAATAAGGTTCAAAGTGGAGATGTGGTGTGAGCTAACAACCTGGCCTGAGCCACCATGATCTCTGGGCTGGACAAAGGTGGATGAAAAGATAAGAAGGCACAGGGAGTAAATGAAAGGTTTATATTTAACAAATTAGGGATAGGAAAGGGATATATCATGAGCAACACACTTGATTAAACAACAAACAAGGGAAGAAAGTTAAAGGGGGATCTGTCCAGGAGTAGTGGGATCCCCTGAACAAAAGACAATTGTGTAGCATGACTCTTTTGCAGTTATACTTTTATAGGATACACCAGTAACTATTAAAAATGACAAGGGAGGATTAAATGAAATATTGCAAGCCTTAAACTAATCTCGTGTTACGGGACCCCCTTCCCCACCTTTCTGAACACACACATAAGCAGTACACTGTCCAAACATTCACACTCAGGAGAAACTGCAGAACCAGGTTCATTTACAAACAGTGAAGCACGGGTTTGGCTGCCATGGCAAAATGCCAGTTGACTTTCATCTCTGTTTCTGTCCCTCTGTCAGGCAATCAACATTGTTCACACAGTTTATCCATCAAAGGTCGGCAGGAACTACAGAAAACTCTGTGCATAAAGAGGAAGACAAAGGAAAGGGAAGAAAATTGGAAATGAAATATTGGAAATATTTTTACAGAGTGGGTCTTCCAAATGACAAGAAGCGTCATGGTATTTAGTCATACAGAGTTGTTTTATTTGTCTAGGAGGCATCTCTCTCAGCCAGTTCTGTCTCCCCTCTAATACAGTAGAGGAGAATGGGTTGTTCAGTGGAACAGCGTTCTTCATGTGATGGCCAAACGAGGCTTTCCTGAAGCAATGAGGCTTTGCAGTCTGTTGTATCGCCAGAGATTTATTACTCAAAGCCTCATTTTACTTGAGTTTCACTCATGATACTTTCTACTGAAAGTAATGAAGTGCAGCCAAATCATAATCAACTGTGCCGTTGGCAAATGTATTGCAGCAGCTGAGAGTGCTTGTGTAGCTGAGAGAAGAAAGAGGATCCTTTATTGAGTTTTATTTAGAAATAAAAGTTTTTATCATTTTATATGCCATATATCCTTTACATTTTAGAGAGAGATATATTAAAGACATTTCCTCTTTCTTGCAGGATCCATCTAGTGCTCACACTGTCAAGAGTTCTTCAGTACATTACTTAGCATACTGACAAAGTCTCAGCACTTTCTCTAAACCAGTCACCCAACTACCCACGAAAGGTTCAGGGTTCCCGGTCAGTTTATCAACAAATCAAAACTCAAACTGAAATGGTCATGTGATTTTGTATGAAACAAGGCAAGCTTCAGCAGAAACTGCTGTACGTCTCGAGTCACACTTCAGAGGCTCGGTGTCATAGGTAACATCACTACATTCTACAGAAAAATAATTCCTATGAAAATATGCTGTTAAGTATTTTAAAGCCGTATTACTTTTGGTCACGTGGGGGCTGCAGATGTTGTAAACACAACTGAGATCTCAATACCTGGGCACAAAAAAACAAAAAGCGTCTGCGTAGCTACAAGAGGTGACTGAAAAGATATGCATTTTCTTCTCCAGTTCTTTGAGAGCTGGATTTAAAATCATAAAATATATCAGAGAGGAAAGTGCTTCTTGTCTTAGTCAGACCAGTTGCATTCATCACGGATGTGCTGCGATACTTACGTCTATCACTTTGTAGTATTATCCTGTTTCAGTGTGGCCTCTGTGTCATCCAAGGCCCTAATATCTAATGAGACAATTAGTCCACAGACGGAACAGAAAAAACAGGGCATGCAGCATTAAAGCGACAAGTGAAACTCTGTACAGTCTACAGCAACTATCCCTTTATATATTCATCTGCTTGCAATACCTCTGATCCACATGTGCTGCTGCCGGGAGACACTTGTGTGCTGTTCCCTGGCTTTTTGCTCATAGGATACTGTACGGGACAGACCTGGTGTTTCTGCTGGAAAGCCGGTTTTATTTCAGGCTGGACACTCGGAGAGAAGGAGCCTTCACTCACAGAAACCTGCTTAAACTTTCAGTATTTTTACCAAATGGACCGGTGAGTGGGACTTAAGTGATTCAGCGTGAATGTTGACGAGACTGGACTGATCCTTTTGCTGGTGACTGTGGAGGTGAAGAGAAAATCAGTGGTGCCGTCATGAGAGCAAGCATCATTTCACTGAACTGTGTATCTTCATACAAATGGGTTGTAGAAGAAGAAGAAGCCAGCTCACACCTCCAGTCCAAAACTACAAAAATGTGCACAAAGTAGGTGGATTTTCTAGTGCTGATGCCACCCTCACTCCAAGATAGTTTTGCAAGTCTGTCTTGCAACAGTAGGTCAGGTGCTTGTATGAACTTTGCAGCTGTTTCATTTACTCCTTTTCATACTAACTGTTAAAAGGTCCCTGCTTTTTTTTAAATATACAAAAATTTATATGAAGGTACAGCAGCCAGAATTTGACAAATCTTTAGTGCAAAATTAGATTAAAACAGCATTTTGGACAAGTTCCAGTCAGGTGTCAGGGTGCACCACAGTACTGAGTCGGCTCTGGTAAAAGTGACAAATGATTTACTGCAGTTTTTAGACTCGGGAAATTGTGCCATTCTAACTTTTAATATTCTTGAGTCATCTCCAGCATGTACAAGGCATTCAGGCTAATGCCTTAAAATGCTTTTCGTTGTATCTGCAACATAGATCGGCACCAGTTATTACATTTCATCCTCTCCTGCGGTGTGCCCCATGGCCCAATTCTAGGCCTTATTATATTTTCATTATACATCCTCCACTGAGATCTGTCTTCAGGAAATTCAACATCCCTTATCCAGACAGCTTTACATGAAACCTAGTAAACACAAATTACATTTTCATTGAATTCACATTACTCACTCACACCGAGGGACTCACTTTACAGCCACAAGCAAAACGTTTTTCTGTGTTCAAACAGGCACCTGCCTTTGTTTTAAGACAGACTTGAAAAATTGTGAACCTGAAAGCTTTTAGAGTAAAGATGTGTGGAGTGGTTGTACCTCTTATTCTCTTCATTCTATGCTGTTGTTTTATGCCCAGCTTCCACGTTGCACAGGAGTGTCTGTTTGCACTCTGTGTGATCAGCAACGTCTTCAATCCACCACAAAAGCCAAAATAATTCTCTAATACTGTAGTTAATCAACTGTATAACCTCATTGTTTTTGCACTAGTTTACAGTGGAAATATTCTGTAGTTACCATCTCATGTTGCTGCATTTGAACACCTATGTAGTGCATGACAATTTATTTAGGGTGTACTGTTTGTGTACGTCTGTATATTTTGTCAGGATATGAAAATAATATAGTGAAGTAACTGTGCCAAACAGTAGACAGAGAAGAATAAGTCAGGGGTCCCCAAAGTCTGACACTGAGACAACTGCGTCTCCCACCCCGCAACACCATCCTGTCCTCCCGATAGTCTTTGTATTTCTTCTATTTTGTAGATAATCATGCTCCGTGTTTTGAAACTACCGTTCCCATAGTGCTTTGCAGCATATAAGCCGGAAGCATAATGGCGCCATATAGCCGCTAAATTATTCTGTGGGCTACAACTTGAATCCTCTTCTTCTTTATATTTATTTTTTTAATCCCAGCCTGTGTTTGCTCTAATTTTAGCAAAGTGGCAGCATTAAACGTGTGCCGAGTTGGATATTAGCAGTCAACTGCTGTACGAACAGCTGTGACTGAATGACTTTGATACTGACGGAAACTTCTAAACATGATGGTTCTCAGGCAGGTTCTGGATGTTTACGGAGCGTCTGTCACCACATGATCTCTAAGCGGAGCTGAGGACGTTTACTAGTAACTGAAGACATCCTCAGAAAGCGTAAGTCCCACAGAATGTACAAATATGTACATTATACCTGTGACTAAATAATGACCCCGGGAACAGGTAGTTTTAGGTTCACCTGTCCCTTTCACTTCACCTTTGCCTAATTTCTCAGTTTGAAAACCCCTGATTTAGACTTTATAGGAGTTTATTATATATAGTACAAAGAAGAGATGCCTACTGAAAGCATTACTGGGTGGATTTTGTTTTTTTGGTGATTACCATTTTACTCTAATATTGTCTGAGAAAGAGAAAACATGTAATGCTTTGGTTTTTACAGCAGAGATGAAGTGTTGCTGTTATCATGGACAATAAGCTGCTTTGCATCCTGATGTGCTGTGGGTGGCAGACATAGTTTTTCTGTTTTCAGGAGCCATGGATGTGTCATTGTACATACTGTAAAGATGTATATGTAGGAGTTATGGTTGAGAGTTATTTATTTACCTAAAGATCATAATGTTACTGAGGATTTCAGGTCAAATGTATTTGAAATATGTAGCATTTTATTTGTCACTTTTGGTGGCCATTAAGGCCGTGGACCAACATGAGAGAGTTTTTGTTTTTACCAGTGCAATATTGTTCCAGTCACAGCCATGCGAAATAACCAGTATCACTGCAGGGGCACAGTACAATCTGCCACAACACATGCTACAGGCAATTCAGTCTGAAATCACACACACACACCACCTGTAGTTGTTTCACACCTTGTATTTGTATTTGAGCTACTGTTGACCTCTGCTGACTCTTTACAAAAACCGCTGAGCATTTTGTAGGACTTACTGTACCTATTTTTCAAACTGGAGTATTTTAAAAAAAGAAAAACCTTTGAAATATAACTCGACACTGTTTTTATTCAGTCAGCAGTGGGTGCATGAGAAAGTGAAACCCCATAATGAAGCAGCTCTATTTAACAAGCTGTTGCATGTCATCCAGCCAGACTGGAACTACGTAACCTCTGTTCTAAACAATAATAAAACAGTTATGTTGTCCACTGTGTCCTCACTGCTTCATGAAACTTGGGTCCAAACATTCTGCTGGTTGGTCAGCTTTAGTTATTAGCTTCTCACAACAACACATCACGTTTTTAATAAGGCAGTCTTTATAAATAGGTTAGAAATTGTAGCTAATGGTATTTTAAAGGTTAAAGGAGTAGCTTTATATCTTAAGAAATAGACCCATTCTCTTGTTCAATGATGAAATGATTGACATTAATGTAACATAAGATCAGTTTTGCTTATTGGTTCTCTCAGTCAAACCTAAATTACAAACATCATCAACACAGACGCCCAGTGGCTCATTTTACACACAAACTGGAGATGCTCTGTTCACCCCTGAGCTGAAACAAGGGAAAGAACAGGAAGAAAATCCTCCAAATATTGCACAAAATGGCAACAGCTGTTTATAAAATTGGCCATAGTGAAGATAAGCCACTATCGGCCGTGTAAAAAAAACTTTTATTCACCTTTTTTGTTTCCAATGATGCACTTGTGACTGACCACACATACAGAAACCTTGTAAATATGCAGCACAGGAGGATGGAGAGCAAAGACAGTCTGCTCTTTGGTTTTACAGATGGACGCATGGATGAGGGAAGCGATGGCAGCCTGTACAGCCGAGGTGGAGGGGAGAGATCAAACCTACAGACACAGTAAGTAAAATCACAGCTGAGCTAAATCAGCTGTCTCATCATCAGTGACCTCCTGAAAGACGAGTCAATATTACAGTGAAATCTCATTGATTTTGATCTGTGCCTATAGTGCACGAGGCCTTTTGGGGGTGATTTGTTTGCTAGCTTGTTCCTCTTCCCGGAGTGTACAGCGGAAAGACTTGACTTTATCTGAAAGAGAAAAAGCAATGAGTCAACTATCAAGACGTCTAATAACAGCTGAGGTATTGGAGCTGATTTGTCCTGTAATACAGACAATAAACCCCAGGAGCACGCTGAATGAACGATTGCACTGCGTTATAGAAGGCAGTGCTTGTAGTGGTTAGTTTGAGTCTTATTAGTGCTGCATGTACAGCGCTACAGCCTTTATGTTAATCTGACGGCCTTTATTTGCATACTGATTCCCACTGTGACTTCAATGTGCCATGAGCAAAGGGGTGCAGGTCTCACAGGGGCGTAGTACTTGGTGTCTGTACAGCAGATTTTACCTCTCAGCTCAGTCAGAATGTCAATCTTCTGGTCCAGGATTTGTTCTAGTTGAGTTGCATACGACTCGACATCGTAGTCCACCTCCTCGGTCATTTCCAAAAGCACCTTCTCATCTTCCAGCCAGCGGATGGACTCCTACAGGAGACATGCTGCCATTTAGTTGTATTTACCTAAATGTTGATTAAATATGTCTAACACTTTTTTTATGAGCTACATAATCCAAATACTGGAGCTACTGGTTCAAAACCATTACAATTATGAGCCTAAAGGATAGATTTGGGATTTTCATCTCTGCCCTAAAACAATTATTGATGTACCCATGTGCAAATTCAAACGGGCTGAGCACTGTGACTCTTCCTACTCCTCACCGGAGCTTTTCATCCAGTTTGCTGTAGGGACAAAATGCACATGCATTCTTTTTTTTTTTTTTTTTTTTTTTTTTTACAAAAAAATTCATAAACTTCAGTCGACCTATGAAGCTAAATCAGGTCAGTTTAGTACAAATTTCCATCTTTGTTTTCCAAATAGTAGTTTCTTCCCAAGCTGAAGCAAAAATTTCTAAAAGCATGTTTTTACTTTGTTACAGGTTATTCATTGTAGACTGATGAGCCAAAATATTTATGCGTTAAATTAAATCTCCAACTCATTAAGGTGAAGGGGTCTGAAGCCACTGTATGTAAACACTCCTACTGTCTTTTCAAGTTCTTATGTTTGTCTGGAAATCTCGAGCGGTAGCGCCGACCTCCACCGGTGCTCAAACTGCACGGCGGGTATGTGCATTCTCCTGCGTTACCTGGAACACGGCCCTGTGGTCCTCCAGAACCTGCTCTTCCATCTCCACCAGCTGAGAGACGGCTTCATGGAAAGTGAAGAGCTGTGGGGAAACCTCTTCCTCCTGTAGAGAGCACAACCATTTTCACACTGATCATACTGTGACCTGCTGTATGGCTCTGTACCGTGGAATCCACATACTGTGCTTTGAAAACAGCTGGTTAGGCTTTAAAACTGATCTAGGACATTAGTGGATCGGTTCATAAATTTTCAAATCTGTCAAAACAACCCTCAGGTGCCCATATAAGTAATTAAACATTCCTCTGTCTGCTAATACACATCCAGTAGTAATCCTCATTATGTGGGGGAAAAAAAAGTCTCAGTTCTGAAACAGAAACCACTCAGTTTCACTCGGAGTCTCAGTAATGGCCAGAAGGCACAGGACGAAGGTTTACAGTCAGCAAAAACTTTTTAAAAACCATACATATGAGAATGGAAGCAGTTTTTTTTAGATGGGCAGAAAAATGAAAAATGTAAACCTCTCCCTTTACAGGTATGTTAAATCGAGGCTGCTGTCCATACACCTGAGTGAATCAGTGTTTATCTTACATTCTGTTCACATAGCAGCTTCAGGTCGTCTCTCTGCGGAGAGCTCCCGACTCCCCACTGAGCCTCCAGCACCTCCAGCTGGGTGACGTGTCCTCCCTGACGACTCTCTATCGCTGCTGCGGGGTCCACTGTGAGCTCCTTCACCCTGACAACACATCAGTGCTGCTGGTTAAAATTAACTACTGCTAAGGCATCTGATGACAAAGGTACGGAGCCGCATGCAGTTCATTAATACAGACAAGCTGCTGGTGAACATGCTCAGCATGCCAGGGTGCGATTATGAGACAGACATCAACAGGGTGATGAAATACCATGCAGAGTTTTTATGGAAACTAAGCCTGGGAAAAATAAAATCAGGTTAACATGAACAAATAATGGATAGTAGAGGAAAAAGGCAGACGTTATCCCCTAGGATTAAGTTGTGCAACGGCTCGGGCCAATGTGCATTATGATAAGATATAATGAACATACTGTATTTTTTGGCCCCAGTCTCCTTCAGTCAAGCTGCCATAATTATAAAACCCTCCACATGTTGTAAATGACATCTCCTCTTTCTCCCTCACTGAAAAATCCAGGATCTCTGAATATCCAGACTTTAACTGCTAGGTCTCCCACTTCACTGAAGAGCCTGTTCTCAGTGAACTGAACCTGACGGCTTCAGGTTTTCACATCACACTTTTGTTACATACTGACTGACTCTAGTTCTGAGTGAAGGGTCTTTAAATACAGCCTGCAGTTAAAGGATAAGGCTGGTGATTCTCTATAGCAGGGGTGGGCAAACTACGGCCCGCTGGTCCTTTTAATCCGGCCCGCCGAAGGTCGGTACAGGATTGCCCAAATCAAATCATATTGTGACGATCCACGGGGTCATTACAATATCATAATTATGACTGCATTCATTTGTCCTTGTCCTGTAATGCCTGGCGTTCCACCAGGTGGCGCATTAGACACGGTGATACATTGACTTGATTTTGCAGAGCCAGGGCTACTCTCAGTTAGTACTCTGCTACTGCTCTGAACCCATCTGCAACAATAAGTGGGCCAAAGAAAAGAAAAGTTGACAGTGAGTGCCGAGTGTTCAATAAGGAATGGACAACTAAATATTT